CCTTGGAGAGGGACATCATGTTTGGGAGAGTGGAGGGATGGTGCAGGAGAGGAAGACCCTTGATGAGATGGGTCAATTCTGTGAGTGGAGTGGTGGGAATGAGTGTGTTTGAGACGGCGAGGTTGGCACAGGATAGAACGACATTTAGGGCTCTTGTACGTAGGATACTGAGTCGCAAGCAACTCGATAGCACTTAACAACAACAACAACAACAGCAACAATTTAGTAAGTTATTCTTGCTCCCTTTTCCCTTCCTTACAGAACAACAAGAGCAATAACTATTAAGTGATTTTTTTCTCCCTTCCTCTTCCCTTCCTCGTAACCACCAAAGGATGTTGCTTTCTCTATAGAAATCTGTTCTTGATTATTATTATTATTGTTATTTTTTGTGATTGAGTGGTTTACCTTTTTCTTGTTGAGGTGCTTGAGTGCTATAAATTTTAGAGATACATCTTTTATCAGACATGTCATTGTCAAGTATTTTTTTTTCTCGGTTTGTGGATTTCTTTTTATCTTATTGGAAAAAGCTTTTGGGTTTTTTTATTGGTTGGTGTTGTGTTTTGTTTTTAATGTTTCTATTTATTCTTGATTTTTTATAAAAATGGTATTCTATAGTGTTTATCCTTTTGTTATTGCCTTATATAATTCAGCATAATACCTTCCAGAGTTAGTCACATTATGTTTCTTTTTTTTGATGTGTGTGTGTGAGTGTGTGTGTGTGTGTGTGTGTGTACTATCTAGTAGGGTCTGACTGGCACAGAGATTGCCCCTCCTTCTCCAGCAAAGCATCTGATGGATTCAAACTGCACACCTTTGGAATTGCAACGTAGCTTCTTGCCACTAGGCCATCACACATATTTCATGGACTCATAATTATTTCTAATCATGGCATACTATTGCATAGTGTTCTGTTGTAAGCAGGTTTTGCTTATCTAGTCATCTGCTAATGGATACTTAGTGTTGTTTCTTTTTGCTATTGTGAATAATGCTACAATGAACACAGGTATCACTGCTTTTATTTCTCTAGGATATATATATCTGGGAGTAGGATTACTGGATCATATGGTTCTTTTTCTAGCTTTTTGAGGGAGTGCAGCATTGGTTTTTAATGTAGCAAATATTCAGTCTCTTAATACAAAGATATGAAGTTCTCTGGCAAGTTATTTGTTTTACTGGATCCTTCTGGCTTCACCCCTCTCTTCTCCTATAATATTGTTCTCTACCCTAGCAGACATGTCTCCCTTCTTCTTTAGGAAAAAATTTACATGTCTAAATTTACTAGCCTGGCCCAGTGCTCTTTTGTTTTTCCTGCCTTCCCTCCCCTCAGTATTTATAGCCAGGCTAATTCTGGGTGGCCTCTCTGTCTTTTTCGTGTTCTTTCCTCCTGTGGCGGGTGAGTGACTTCTCAAATATTTGGACAGTGAAGGTCAGAAGCAGATTCTTGCCTTCTGATTTCAGCCTCAAATTTAGGAGGAGGCAGTGGTTTGGATATGGAGGCAGGCAGAAGCTGCAGGTGCAGAGAGAAGGGCAGCTGGGGCCCTAATGGCATTGTGACCAGTGTTGGAAGTCTGAGCTAGGAGTTGGAAGTTCCAGTTTCTATCATGATTTTATTCTTCTGCATTCTCAGAGCAGCACTCTACTATTGTCTGGTACTCTCGAATAGAAGAGGCCTAAAGAGGCCATATCTTGGGAATACTAGAGATGGAGTCCAGGTGCCAGCCCTGCAGGTAGCACACACACTTTCTTGATAGCACTTGGTAGAATGTGCTAGTCTCCTGGTGGATGAAGTATTTCATGGAGGCCCAAACCTTCACTTTTATGTTAAATTGTCTTCTGTGAGGGAGAAAGATGGGCTGTTTCCTCCTGTGTGGTTTACAGCCTCCAAAAACCCACTGGAAGGTCAGCTTTGAATAGGCTCCAATTCTACAGCAGAGGTGGGTTATTTTTCCACCCAAAGCTGACCCAGGGTCAGCTGACCATCTATTGAATTTATTTATTAAAAAGTATACATCCCTGAAACAAAGAAATGGGGGTGTGTGTACAGAAAGGCACACACAAACAGTAGTTTAGTAAGACAGCAACTGGAACTTTTAAGAAAGGGACAGAAAAATGAGCATTTTAAGAGTATTGACAGCATTTCAGGGGCAGAGACAATATTAGGGGCATTGAGAAATAGTTTGAGAAAGATTCCAAGTGTTACAGAGACAAGAACTGTGACAAAAATAGAGTTTGGGGTGAGACAGAAGCAGATGGTTAAGGAATAGAAAGATGGACAAATGGATACAAGACAGACACCCAATAAAAAACAAACAAACAAACAAACAAACAACTAGGAAGGGGAGGTGGGAATAAGAGGTTCCAGTTATGCCAAATTATTTCCTATCTCTCTTCTTGGCACCATTTATGAGTTGACTTTATAAATAGCAGAGAGAAAAAAAAATAGCAGAGAGTTGGAAAATGTCCCCCTTTCTTGCTTCTCTCTCAGCCTGAGGGGGAAGGAGAGGAAAGACAGACCAAGTCCTTGGGAAGATCCCTTTGCAGTCACACCCAGATTGAATTTGAGCCAGTCTAGGATTTGAAGTCCTTTCAGTCTCCTGCCCTTTTGATGATGGGAAATGTACAGTCCTGGGAAGGGTCTTTGGGCTCATTCAGTGAAGAGCTCTACTACCAGCTGAAAAGTTGGCAGTTCAGACCTACTCAGAGATGTCTCAGTAGACAGATTTGATGAATTTCTTCTGAAAGGTCACAATCTTGAAAAATCTTTCTCTGCACATATGGAATCTCCATGGTTCCATCCAGCTGACAACAATGGGAAGGGTCTGGTGCCTGCAAATACCCTTTCCATCTCTCTGCCTCTGGGGTCTAATCTAGGCCATGGTCATCTCAATTATTTGCTATGCATCAGAGAGCTGGACCATGACTAAGGGTGACAGAAGAAGATTTGATGCCTTTGAGTTGTGGTATGGAGAGTATTGAACTACTAAAAGAACAAACAGGTCTGTCCTGGAGAGGGTGAATCCAGGTTGCTCCTTGGAGGCTAGGATTTTGAAACTTGGGTTCATATACTTTGGGCATGTGGCCAGGAGGGACCAGTCATTGGAGAAGGACATCATGCTTGGAAGGATGGAGAAGACATCATGTTTGGGAGGGCAGAGAGTCAGCACAAGAGAGGAAGACCCTGGAGGAGATGGATTGACATAGTGACTGGAGTAATTGGAATCAGGTGTGTTGGAGACAGTGAGAATGGCTTAGGTTAGAGCTGGATTCAGAGCTACTGTTCATAGGGTCGCCATGAGTCTCAGTAGACAACCACCTCTAGGGCCTAGTGGAGATTGTGAGAATGGCACAGAATAAGGCAAAGCTCTGTTCTGTTTTTCATGGGGTTGCCATGAGTCAGTCGGCTACACAGCACCTAACAGCCTCTTGGGTCCAGTCTTTTTCATCTTTGCCCTTCTAAAACACATCTTCCTGTGTTACCACCAGCCTCTTTCTTATTTTCTCCCTTCACTCCTCCCCATGTTGATCAAATCCTTATCCCAATCTTCCTCTTCTAATTTCCTTTTCTTTCTTTGTCTTTGCCTTCTTAATTTTCTTTCCTACCTTTTTTGTCTTTCCCTTTTTGTACCTCGTGAGTTTCCCCCTCAATCTCCTTTCATTTACCTTTTTCTCAGATCCCCTGAATGCTGATGATGTGGTTAGTATTACTTTTGCCGCTGCTGGGCTCTGAGAGTGGGCAGAGGGCAGGGTGGGATGAGGTAGGAGATAGCATGATTTGAACAAATAAAGGGTGCAGTGACCACGATGTTGAGAGAGGACCTAGGCCTAGAACCACTTCCCTCCTCTCCTAGGCTGCCTTTAGTCTCATTTCTCATCATTTATCTTTGTTTCCCCAACCCTTTTCTACTGTTCTTTCCCCTTTCCCTCACCATTTCTGGGCGTCGCTCCACCCCTGGCCTGCAAAGGCAGGGGGAGGAGAATGGAGGGAAGAGCAGTGCAGGAGGGGTGGGATGGGTGGTGCTGGGTGAGGCTGGGGGCGGGTGGGGTGGGGAGCAAGGCCAATCCCCAGGGCCACCCGCCTGGTAGCTCTGGCCTCCACCTGCAGCGGAGCTCGAGGTGGGGCGGGGCCGGGGCCGGGCTGGGGCGGGGCCGGGGCCGGGCTGGGGCGGGGCCCGGGCGGCACCTCGGATGAAGAGGCGGGAGCAGAGTGGACACCGAGCTGCTGCAGTCGTTGAAGTCGCGGGCACTGCCCAGCGGAGCTGCAAGTGAACTGTGGCTGGTGGCTGTGGGAAAGACTGAAAGACCTCTGAAAGAGGAGTGAGATTTCCAAGGACAGAAAAGGACCTGGGGAGACTTGTGACTCTGGCCAAGCGGGAATTGCCCTGTGGTTGCAGGGTAAGCGAACAAGCTTAGCCCCATGGCCAGGACTCGGGACCATGATCTCTGGGGGGCCTCTGGGCTTTGCTACATTTTTGGCTCCCTGATTGCTGGACTACTCTGCCCGGGGGCGGTTGCCTTCAATCTGGACGTGATGGGCGCTCTGCGCAAGGAGGGCGAGCCTGGCAGCCTCTTCGGCTTCTCCGTGGCTCTGCACCGGCAGTTGCAGCCCGGACCCCAGAGCTGGTGAGTCATTGCACACACCTGATGTCCCCATGCCTTAGTCACACATTTGTCTCTTCAACCTGGGAACATTTCATCTTTGTCTTCCAAAACCACGGACTCAGGCTGCTCACAGATAGCCCACACCCAAACATGAACCTGCCTCAATCTGTCTAGAGTCTGGATCTTTATCCTCAGGTCCCAAGACTCAGGGTCTTGCTTTGGGGACAGATTGGAGAGCCAGGTTCTTATCTTGGCAGGAAGCTATCTCCTTCTGCGGTTGCTCCAACTTTCATTCTTCTTTAGAGGCTGGATGCCCCCAGGAAGGAAGACTGACCATTCTGCTAAGGCAGGAGAGAGAAAAGGCAGAGAGATTGAGGGTGCCATGAAAGGGATAGATAAGAGACTAAAAACATTACTTCCTGCCAAGGCATTGTCTTGGGATAGAATGAATGCAGCAGGACACTGAGAAGGTCGGAAAGATCTGCCCTTTCTATGGCTCAAGATCAAGGCCGTGGGAAGATTGGGAGAGGGACCTTGGATGGTCTGGCAGCTCACACGGAGTGGTTTGGTGATAGAGGGTGTCAGGAAATTGAACCCCCAAAGGGAACAGCAGCAGCAGCAGCATCAGGCTGAGAGATCCAGGAAGGATGCTGGTCAGGCAGCTCCCTTTCTGCCTCCTCAAGGAAGTTCCGATTCCAGGAATCTCAGCAGTGGGGGAAGGAAGAGAGGATTGAGGGGCAAAGGACAATGCTAGTTGTTTTTTCTTTAGTTCAGGACCCGTGGGAGGTGGATGCAATTGCATGTGGGGTCTGTGGCTGGTCATGCATTTTGTACCCTTGGTTCTAGTTACATGTAGATGTTGAGAAAGAAGTGAGAAGGGGGAGAAAGCTTCCCACTTCCTCTAGCTAGCGGGCTTTTCCCCTCGACAACCAATGGCTAAGCCACTTTAAGTGTCCATTACTAGGATCAATGCCATCCATTGGGACTGAGTTTTCTCCCTCTACTGACCTGAGGGCAGAGGGCAGGGACATAAGCTCATTTCTTCTTTCCACACTTCAGGAGTGGAGATGATTGATTCTCTGATCTTCCTTCTTCATCTGAGAGCAGGATCAGGGGTCCCAGGGAGAGATAGAAAGGAACAGATTTCACTTCTTCTGCCCCTTATTTCAGCCTCCCTCCAATCCTTCCGCCAGAGCTCCAGGGCTGGAGACCTTTTTAGGACATGCTGAGCTCCCAGAGCTATATCCAGGCAAATTGTATGTTATTTTTAATAGGTTGGTCTCTTGTCATTTCCCCCTTCTTTCTGAAAATGGACCCTGATTCTGTCTTTCAGAGTCAAGATGGGGCATTCCCAGAGGGGCCTGACAGCCTGACTGCTTTTGCTCCAGCAGGGGGCGCCCTGCTGTGTGGTGGCTTGGGCGAAGCTAGGTTCAGTCCCCACCTTTCTGAGATGCAGATTGCCTTCCCTGGTCTTTCTCACTTGTTTTGGTGTCTTTCACTCTGGCCTCTGAATAAGACACTGAGGTTTAACTTTCTTACTCTGTGCTGTGGTTTCAGCATTATTCATTTCCCTTCAATTGTGAAATGATGATACATAATTTCACTACCATAAGGAATTAGAGTGTGTGTGTATATGTGAGATTAAACACGTTTCTGTGTGCAACAATAAATGAGTAAAAAAAAAAAAACCACGTTTCTGATATACCCAAAAAAGGAGCCTGGGTTGCACAAGTGGTTTATGATTGCTGCTTACCCAGAGCCTGGCAGTTTTAATCAACTCAGCTGTTCCATGGAATAGAAGACCTGATGAGCAAATTTGGGAAAGATTACAGCCAAGAAAACTCTATGGAACAATTCTCTTTTGTAGCACATAGGATCACCATAAGTTAAATTGACTCAATGGCAGCTGATAACAACATACATTAAATGCTTAGAATGGTGCAGGGCCCACACTAAGTGCTCTGAAGTGTCAGCAGAATGATTTATTATTTTTTGTTCTCTGACCTGCAGACCTAGAGAATAGCTTCAGCACTTTACAATGATCCTGAGTCCAAAAGCTTTGTTAGAGAACCCTTCCAGGTTAAGCATCCACCTCAGAGGGCCACCCAGACTGAGGAAGGTTAGAGAGGGCCTGGACTTGGGCAGGAGCCCTGGAATGTGTGGAGAACTAAGAGAGACAGAGATAGTGGGCTGCTCCCCAGCCTCCATTTAGCTGGGGTCCTGGGGGGAGGCCCTTCTGCCTTAGCTGCCAACAGGTTTTTTTCTTTCTCTGCAATGGCCACAGCTGTGGTTCCTGTGCTGTACAGAGGCCTGGGGTGTCAGGGTTCATGGGCTGAAGCTAGAAAGGAGTGCATGGCTGGGGCAAAGGTGTACTGTCTGGATAGGCAGTGTGTGGGAACTGCAATTCTAGAAGGGATAGACCAGTCTGCTCTCCATCAAGAATGGGCCTGGGTAAAACCTGAGGCACAGTGGTCTAAGCCTTGAGTTGCTGACTAACAGTTGGTGGTTTGAACCCATCAGCTGCTCGGTGGGAGAAAGATGTAGTAGTCTGCTTCCAGAAAGATTTACAGCCTCAGAAGCCCTATGGGGCATTTCTGCTCTCTTCTTTAGGATAGCTATGAATTGGAAATGACTAGATAGTCATAGGCTTTTATTTGCTTCCCTCCATATGGACCTCATCTCTTACCCATACTCTTGACCTCCAAAGAGATATGAACATTGAACACTAGTAGCTTCTCTGAGTGGTCAGGGGTATGCTGACCAGCTGAGGCTTTAGGTCTGACCCATAGCTGAGCCTCTAGCAGAGTTTCAGAGGCAATAAATTGCATGGGAGGAGACTGCCCATCCTTCCCCTATGGAGAAGCTGGGTGAGTCAAACCACATACCTTTGCAGTGACAGTGCAGTTTCTTACCACTAAGCCACCAGAGCTCCCCTCCTTTTCCACTTGTTGTTGTTAAGTGATGTTACATCGAGTATGATTCATAGCAAATCCATGAACAATAGATCTGAACTCTGTCTTATCCTCCACCTTTCCAAGCATAGTGTCCTTTTCCAAGGAATAGCATCTCATAACAACATGTCCAAAATATGCTTCATCAACTGCCTCCAGGGAACATTCTGCTTGCACTTTTCTCCAACACATATCTGTTTATTCTTTTGGCAGTCCATGGGAAATAGTCATAATGACAAATCATAGCTCCTTATATTCCTGGCACCTCATCCAGGGCCTGACTTGTGGTAGGTGCTGAGGAAATATTACTTTGTCCCTCCTGTGTCCGACACAAACCTTGGTGTGTGTTTTTTTCCAGTTACCATTTCTGACTCTGGTGACCTCAAGTGTGTGTGTCAGAGCACAACTGTGCTCCATAAGATTATCTATGGTTGGGTTTGTTCCCCCCCCCCGCAAAGTAGATTGCAAGACCTTCTATGGCTCTCCTGGGTAGACTTGACCCTTCATCCTACTGACTGTCAGCCTTAACCATTTGCAAGACCCAGAGTATATGTTATGCTCTCAGTAGATAGCTGTTAAAACAGTGCTGAATGTGTAATCAGTTCCCTCCTACTCACCACCCCCTTCTCTCTCTTGACACTGGTTCTGACATGGGATGACAGCTGCTAAGAGACGAGAGGCATTTCGGGAACGGAGCATGGCTCTGTGCCCTTCCTCCGCTCTGCCCCAACAGGACTGGCATAGTGCCCCACCGATGCCTGCCTGTAATGCTGTCTGCTACAGCTCTGAGTCTCTCTGAGGCAGGGAGATGGGGGAAAAGCATGTGGGAAAGAGGCTTTGAGATTTTCCCTGCTGTAATTTTTATTGAATCTCTCTTGCCAGTAGCCAGTTTCATGTCAGTCACTTCGCCTCAGCCCCTCCTCATTTTGGCCTAGGGATTCGGCCCCTGGGGACCCAGGCAGACTCCATTCCCAGCACAGTTCTCTCCCCCAGGGAAGAAGCCTTGGCTGTGATCATGGAAAATTGTCCTGCCAAGAAAGTTGTAGCTGAGAATGAGTCTAAAGGGGAGGTTGGGGAGAAAAACTGGGCAGTGGAAGGGGGTGTCTTGTAAGAGGAAGGGGAGATAGAGGATGTGGGGAGAAGGAGAGGACCTGGAGAGGGGAGATTCAGGATATAGGGGAGAATGAAGTAGGATTGGAGACAGGATAAGGAACTTCTCCCTCCTTCTACGCCAGCCAGACTTATAGAACTGCTGAAGTGGGGGGCCTTTGTCAGATTCCTGATTGGGGGAAGCAGACCCACATGTAGCCTCTTTCAAGGTCTCCATATCTGGTCCTGGGACTACCTCATGGTCCCAGCATGAGCCCTGTTAACGTTTGCTGTCAGTATTCTTGGCATTTCTGGCAGGATTCCAACTGGACTAGGATGGGGGAGGAGGATAGAGTTTAGGGATGGGGCCAGGGAGAGGGTAGAGAAGGCCTGGCCAGGAACAGGTGCTGGGAACAGGCGATTCTTTCAAACCAGTAGTGCTGGACAGGCTGCTTGGGTCTCTGTGTGTATATCTCCTGTGCATGTTGGTCCCTCACTCTATTAGCAGGTGCATGTGTGTTATAGCATGTGCATGGCCAAGTGTCTAAATTTGTTCATTTCCAGAAGTAGAGAAAACGAGCTTTAGGCTTTTGCCCTTTGCCCTAGAACACTGCTTTCTACTGAGAGTTTGGACCTGTGCAGCCCTGGAGCACTCTGTTTTCTAACTCTTGTCCCTACTCCATTGCGCAGGCTCCTGGTGGGTGCTCCTCAGGCACTGGCTCTGCCTGGGCAGCAGGCAAATCGTACCGGAGGCCTCTTTGCCTGCCCTCTGAGCCTAGAGGAGACTGACTGCTACAGAGTGGACATCGACCAAGGAGGTGCGGGCCTTAAAGGAGTGAAGTGGGGAAGTGCCTGAGGAGAGGAGGAGAGAATCTGACCTCCTCTTCTTTTCCCTAAATCCCAATGTCCTACCTCCAGTTGATGCACACAAGGAAAGCAAGGAGAACCAGTGGTTGGGAGTCAGTGTTCAGAGCCAAGGACCTGGGGGCAAGATTGTTGTGAGTACCATTTCTTGTGGCTGTGTTCAAGCATGTGTGTGAGCTTGAGAGGGTGTTTGTATGGGGTTTGTATGTACAGTGTGTGCATATGCACAGGTGTGTTTACAGAACCCAGGTTTGGTGCATGCTGTAATATGTTTTTGTTGTTGTTAGGTGCTGTTGAGTTGAGTATGATTCATAGCGACCCTATGAGCAAAAGTTCTGAACCCTGTTCTATCTTGCGCCATCCTCACACTTCCTGACACACGAGTCCATTGTAGGAGTCACTGTGTCAATTCACCTGGTTGAGGGTCTTCCTCTCCTTTGCCAACCCTCTACCCTTCCCAGCATCATGTCTTTCTCTAAGGACTAGCCCCTTCTAGCAACATGCCCAAAGTATGTGATGGAAAGCCTCATCATTCTTGCCTCCAAAGAGCACTCTGATTTCACCCTCTCCAAGATATAATCTGTTCTCTTCGCTGTCCATGGGATGTTCATATGTAGGAAAAAAAAAAAAGATGTATGACACAATCTCTGTCTTCATAAATAAAAACCAAACCCAAACAAAAGGATTCATGCAGGCCATATATCCATTTTAGCCAACCATTTGTCGGAGAATTTAAGCATGAGACATTGTGCTAGTTGAACTCAAATTCACTGCTGTTGACTCGGTTCCAACTTAAGGTGACCTTCCAGGAGGTTTCTGTACCTGAAAAATCACAATGGGAGGAGACTGACCATTTTCTCCCTCGGAGCTATTGGTGGCTTCAAACCACTGGGAGATACATAGCCTTCAGGTAACCTCTGGCATACTTACAGAGATTTAACATTCTCTGTTTCCCTGTGTCTCTGTTTTTCTCTGTATCTTTCACAAACATATTTAATACACAATGAACAATACAAGTTGTTCTGGGGTGAACATGACTAATATTAGTGAGCCATTTTATAGTTACCAGTTTATAGAAGTCTGAAAGAGTGGAAGGAAAAGACTCCAGCAGATGGGCTGTGCCAGAGTTTAAAAATAGATAGTAAGTGGTTGGAGTAGGTGGTGATTTTTAGGTACCATTGAGTCTGAAACAACTCAGCTGACTCTCCAGCAGATTTTCAGAGGCAGTAAATCACATGGGAGATTACCCCTCTTTCTTGTGTGAGCAGCTGTTGGATTCAAACCTTGTGCCTTTGGGTTGGCAGATCAATTCCTTATCACTAAGCTACTAAAGCTCCTTCATTGGTGAAGGTAGAGAAGAGGAAACGAATCTCAGCTGAAGTGGCAGCATTCATTAGGGACCACAGACAGACTTTGCATGTTGAGAGACAGGCACATGAGACGTGATCAGGAATGTTGTGTTCTTATGGCTTAGTTGTATCTATGGATGCCCAGGCAGAAAGTAGAACAAGGACTTCTTAGGAGAGAGTCCAGGATGTGGGGACAGATGGCATGTGATACAGGGTGGTGGTGCTCCAGACATGTCAGCCTGGGGGTTTGTATGTGTTTGTGTGTGCATATACATTAGCATGCACATGGTACCAGCCTATGCCCAATGTCTTCATATGGGCAATGGCTTAAGCAGGACCCTATCTCACACAGGGGACTGACCCACCCTCCCACCGCTTCCTCCCTCAGACCTGTGCACATCGATATGAGGCACGGCAGCGAGTTGACCAGATCCTGGAGACACGTGATGTGATTGGTCGCTGCTTTGTGCTCAGCCAGGACCTGGCCATCCGGGACGAGCTGGATGGTGGGGAGTGGAAGTTCTGTGAGGGGCGTCCTCAGAGCCACGAACAGTTTGGGTTCTGCCAGCAGGGCACAGCTGCTGCCTTCTCTCCTGATAGACATTACCTCCTCTTTGGGGCCCCAGGAACTTATAACTGGAAGGGTGAGTCATTTCCCAGGGATGGGAGGAGGGGACTCAAACCTCCTCTTGCCATAGAGCCAGGACCGAAGTAGCACGCTGTGGCAAAGCATGACCACATGTCTACTGCCACTGAAACCTGGGCACTGCTTTGCCGTCCTCCCTCACCACGCTAGCACACATGTGAATGGGACTGCCTCCTCTCCTTCACATGGCCCCATTTCCCCCAACACGCTGGCATGAGCCCCCCACCTGCACAGTTGGGCTGCCCACGCGGCTGCGCCTGCATGTTCCAGCACCCAGCCCACCCCTCATCACTCCCATTCCCGTCTCTGCACACTGCTGGCCGAGTGGATACTTGGTGAGTGTGACACCAAGTCTGGGGCCCTCAGTGAGCTTGGGCTGGGTGGGGCATGGGAGGTGGGGCTGGAGGGGGAAGGAGGGGCTTCCCATGTGCTTGTCTAATTCAGTGTCTGGCCTGAGGGTACTCTTGATTCCCTGCCCTAGACACTAATAGGACTGTCCTTACAGGCACAGCCAGGGTGGAGCTCTGTGCGCAGGGCTCACCGGACCTGGCACATTTGGACGACGGGCCCTACGAGGCGGGGGGCGAGAAGGAGCAGGACCCCCGCCTCATTCCGGTCCCTGCCAACAGCTACTTTGGTAGGGACCCCTCCCTGGCCCAGTGCCACTCTAACCCTCTGCTCCTCTCTCTTGTCCTCCCTCTCCACGCTCCCATCCTCCTGTCTCTGTCTCTCTCTCTCCCTGACACTCTCTGTTTCTCCTTCCCACTATCTCATTTTGTCTCTTTGTCTCGGATTCTTATCTTTCTGGTCTCTTGATCTCTCTTTTTCTTTGTCCACCTCATCTTCTTCTTCCTGTCTTCTGGCTTTTCTGCCCGACTCTGTCTCCCCACTCTGTGGCTTCTCTGGATGTCCCTTCCCTGGTGTTCCCCCCCATCCTACCCCCCCACAGGGTTGCTCTTTGTGACCAACATTGATAGCTCAGACCCTGACCAGCTGGTGTATAAAACTTTGGACCCTGCTGACCGGCTCCCAGGACCAGTCGGAGACTTGGCCCTGAATAGCTACTTAGGTTTGTAAGCTTCCACTCATGTCCTCCTAGGCCCTGAGGGCCTGGCCCTTCCCTCCTCTCCTTCCCCAGGGAGCATGTCCTCCCATCACCCCTCATGCACATGTGGGTCCAGTGGCCAGATGTAAGAAGAGGAGCCCCGAGGGTGATGGCCAGAAGGAAGATCGGGGTGGTGGGAAAAGGACAAGATTGAGACTATTCAGGGAGGGAAGAAGGTTAGACTTCCAGGGAGACTTCCTCTGAGGGATGGGTGATGGGCATATGCTACAGAACAATCTAGCCTTTCTGGTAAGTTTGGAATATCTCACCTGTGTCCCTTCTGTAGAGGAGGAGGAAACAAGACCTGGAAGATGTTTGAGTGACTCAAACACTTCTCTCCTACCCTTGTGTCCCCTTCCTTCCCACGTGAAGGCCTTTTTTCTCTGCCAGAAAGGTGTAGGTAAGGGTAAAGAAGGTGCTTTGGATAGGATTGGGGGCCTTAAGGATGTGGAGATGAGAGAGGACCACCTCCTTTGTCCTAGTCCCCGGAGCAGATGTGGTAAGGTGTCTGCCCCAGTTCCTGCCACTGTACTTGACATCGCACCAGCCATCTTGCCCTCTCAACATTGCCTTCCTCTCTCCCTGGGATGGATTTGTTCCAGTTTTTGTGCCAAACTCCGGTCTCAGGAAGAGATGGGCTTGGGCGGGCTTCCAGGGCTCAGGAGGGGCAGGAAGAATGGCCCAGTGTTGGGAATGATAGGCTGGGGGACACATCACTCACCTTTTGTCTCCTGACCTGCCAGGCAGCACTGAGGGTTGCTAGGAAATGCTCTGCCTTCTGAATCTGTTGAGGTGCTAACCAGGAAGTCATCCTCCACCCAGGTTTCTCCATCGACTCGGGGAAGGGACTGGTGCGTGCAGAAGAGCTGAGCTTTGTGGCAGGGGCACCCCGGGCCAACCACAAGGGTGCTGTGATCATTCTTCGAAAAGACAGTGCCAGCCGCCTGGTGCCTGAAGTTGTGCTGTCTGGGGAGCGCTTGACCTCTGGCTTTGGCTACTCACTGGCCGTTGCTGATCTCAACAACGATGGGTGAGAGAATGGGCAGAAGTGAGGGGGACTTGGGGGAAACTGGGCACAAGAGCTATGGTGGCCTTTGACCCATTGCCAAGAAGAACTCACACGTACTGTTTCTCTTCATAGCTCGCCAGACCTGGTGGTGGGTGCCCCCTATTTCTTTGAGCGCCAAGAAGAGCTGGGGGGTGCTGTGTATGTGTACATGAACCAAGGGGGTCACTGGGATGATGTCTCCCCTATCCGGCTCTGTGGCTCTCCTGACTCCATGTTTGGGATCAGTGTGGCTGTCTTGGGGGACCTCAACCAAGATGGCTTCCCAGGTGTGACTGAAAACTGGAAATGCTCAGTGGGGGGAGGGGGGCAGGAAGAGGTGGGTATGGCTCCGAGATCAGGGGGTTGGTCTTCTGAGGGCTCAGAGAGAGAGAAGGAACCTAGGCTCATATGTGAGCTTCACCATTTGCCCTCTGTGTAGCTTTGGGCAAGTTTCAGAATCTTTATACACAAGTAAGGCCCAGACAGAAGTGCTGGGAGGATGAAAGACGGTGTGTGTAGGTGCAGGTTCCTGTGTCTTGTTGTTTTATGCTTGGCTGCTATTCTAAAGGCTAATTTGAACCACCCAGAGGCACTGTGGAAGAAAGACCTGGTTATTTGCGTCTATAAATATTATAGCTAAGAAAACTTTTGGAAAAAACCCCAACCCCTAACTATTTGGAGCATTTCTATTCTATAACACTTAGGGTCACTGTAAGTTGGAATTGACTAGATGAAAACAAGTTTGGTTTTTTAAAAAATGTAAGGTACCTGGGATACCTTTAGTTGTTCACGTTTAGTTGTTGGAGTTGTGTGCCATCAAGTCAATTCTACTTATAACCTCTTGACAAAATAGAAAACGTAACTCGTTGCCGTTGAGTCAGAGCCAGCTCATAGCTGACTCTCCATGGGTTTTTGAGGCTGTAAATCACATGAGAGGAGAACACCCATCTTTCTTCTGTGGAGCTGCTGGTGGATTTGAACTCAGAGGCGTGGCTTTGGGTTAGCAGTGCAGCTTCCTATAGGCTAGGTTACCAGAGCTCCCTAGAAAGCATATTGAAATGAGGAAAAGTTGGCACCTGGTGTTGTTGCCGCCATCGTCAGAATGATTGCCTTTCCTTTAACCTCACAGATATTGCGGTGGGCGCTCCCTTTGATGGGGACGGGAAAGTCTTTATCTACCATGGGAGCAGCCTAGGGGTTGTCCTTAAGCCTTCACAGGTGAGGGGAGTGTTGGTGTGAGGGAAACATATGGGTGGGACAAGGGTGTGCAGTCGCAGAGGGCAGGGGAGGCGGAGGATTGGGAGTGATGGACTTGGGGAAGGCTAACAGTCTGATCTTCCAGGTGCTTGAGGGCGAGGCTGTGGGCATCAAGAGCTTTGGCTACTCCCTGTCCGGAGGCCTGGATGTGGATGGGAACCATTACCCTGACTTGCTGGTGGGCTCCCTGGCTGACACTGCTGTTCTCTTTAGGTGATCCCCTCCCCCTCCCCCCTTCTCCCTGCTGTAGTGTTTATACCCTGTCGGTGACTCTGACCCCTGCTCTGGTGCCACATATGATGCTGAAGACTCCTCCCATATACCTTCTTTCCCAGGCTCTTGTTCTCATGTTTCCCATGCACCACATCTTTCTGTCCTCCTAGGGCCAGACCCGTTCTCCATGTCTCCCATGAGGTCTCCATCGCTCCTCGAGCCATCGACCTGGAGCAGCCCAACTGCCCTGGTGGCCACTCAGTTTGGTGAGATAGGGTCTGGGCGAGGGCAGAAATCTCCAGAGCTGCTTCTTCCTGCCTCGCCTCTCCTCTCCCCTCCCAGCCCCTCTCCTCCCTCCCCTCCTTTCCCTTCCCCTCCCCTCCCCTCTCTTCACTTTGGGGTTTGGGCTGTGGCAGGAGTAGGCAAGTGGACATTTAGGGTCTTTTCCAGCTAGCCTTGCTTGCTCAGGGCTTCGTCTCCTTTGCTTCCACAGTGTGGACCTAAGGATATGCTTCAGCTACATTGCAGTCCCCAACAGCTACAGCCCTATTGTGGGTGAGTGATGTCCCTCTCTCACCTTGTTGGGTTCAGGGTGAGTCATTTCAACACTGGGTGAAGGGCACCCAGAGCCAGATTGAAGCACTCCCCCAGTTGATTGGCTCCCCTCTTTTCCCCGTGTGCCACAGCCCTGGATTACGTGATAGATGGAGACACAGACCGGAGGCTCCGGGGCCAGGTCCCCCGGGTGACCTTCCTGAGTCGTGGCCCAGATGACCCCAAACACCAGGCCTCAGGCACTGTGTGGCTGAAGCACCAGCATGACCGAGCCTGTGGAGACACCATATTCCAGCTGCAGGTGAATGGACTCTGGCCCCATGGCCTCTGAGGGTCATTGTCATTGGATGAAGTGCTTCTCTAGATTCCTCTTAACAGTTTGTTCTACAATACATTCACACCTCATTCTAAGAGCTATACTTTTTAGAGCTTCTTTTGGGTCTTACCCAAATCTTCTATTTTCTCGCATTTCCTGCTGAGTTCAATACTCAGTCTTTAGAGATGGTGATGGTAGGTTCTGTTGCTCCCCAAAAGTCTAAATCCTGGTTGTCCTCCCTTCTCCACTCTGTCTCTCTTTCCCTCCCTCATGTTCATTTCTCCACCTTTCATATTCGTTGTGGTATTTATGTCTGTTTTCCCCTTCCCAGGAGAATGTCAAGGACAAGCTTCGAGCCATTGTGGTGACCCTGTCCTATAGCCTCCAGACCCCTCGAATCCGACGACAGGCTCCAAGCCAGGGGCTACCCCCAGTGGCCCCCATCCTTAATGCTCACCAGCCCAGCACCCAGCGGGCAGAGGTGAGCATGAGTTCTAGTTTGTCCCAAGAGAAGAAGCTGTTAAAGCTAATGATCACTGTCTCTTACCAATGATCTCTTTTTATAGACTTCCGAGCTCTTTTGATAGTTTATCCCAAAACAACAAATCCATTGCTGTTGAGTCAGAACCAACCCATAGCTGACACTCCATTGGGTTTCTCAGGCTGTAGATCACAATGGAGGAAATCATCCTTCTTTCTTCTTTAGAGTAACTGGTAGATTTGAACTATAAGAAAAGCCCAACCTTTGACTTAACATTGTAACTCGCTTGTAGACTACACCATCATAGGCTACATCCTCAAACCCCTTATTCTATGTCTCCTCATATTTGGAGGAGCTCTGACAAAATGTGTGCAAAGGCATTTGACTGTGTGGAACACAAAAATTTCTGGCTAACATTGAGAAGAATGGGAATTCCAGAACACTTGATTGAGCTTATGTGAAACCTATACTTAGACCAGGAAGCAGTCATCAGAACAGAGGAAGGGAACACTGCATGGTTCAAAATCAAGACAGGAGTGCATCAGGGATGTATGCTGTCTCTATGCCTTTTCAGTCTATATATGGAACAGATCATTCGGAAGGCTGGACTTTATGAGGAAGAATTGGCAAGAGTACCATGGTCTGCTACAAGAACAAGTCTTAGAGAAGGTGCAGCTAGAGTGCTCCTTGAAGGCAAAGACTTATTTTCACATACCTTGAACATGTTATGAGGAGAGGATATTCCTTGGAGAGGGACATCGTGTTTGGGAAGGTGGAGGGATGGTCAAAGAGAGGAAGACCCTCAACCAGGTGGACTGACACTGTGACTGCAGCAATGGGCTTGAGTGTGTCAGAGATTGTGAGGTTAGTACAGGACAGGACAGGGTTCAGATCTGTTGTTCAAAGGGTCCTTATGAGTCATACTTGGCTTGATGACACTTAACAACAAAATACTTTCCTAAGGAGCTCTGGTGGTAAAGTAAGTAATTTACCAGACTGCTAACCAGAAGGTCCGCAGTTTGAATCTGCTCTGAAAAACATGAGTGATCTTCTCCTGTAAATGTTGACACCCTCAGGAACCTGATGGAGGGTCACTGTGAGTCAGGTTGGACTCAAAGGCAGTGAGTGAGTTTAGGTTTAATTTGTACCATCCTGGGACTGTCCTTTACATCTCTCCCTAGATCCACTTCCTGAAGCAGGGCTGTGGTGAAGACAAGATCTGCCAGAGCAACATGCAGCTGGTCCATGCCCGTTTTTGTGCCCGGGTCAGCGACACGGAGTTCCAGCCTCTGCCCATGTGAGGGAACAGGGTGGGGGTGTGCAGGTGGGGTGGGAGGGCATGTGCTCAAGGGGTGGAAGGTAGTCTCCTCAGGAGGTCCAGGCAAGTGAGGGCTAAGGGTGTGCATGTGTGTAAACTACTGATAATTCAGACAATGACAGAATAAAGGTCAATTAAGGAGCCCTGGAGACTCCCTTGGTAAGGAATGACAGTCCTTCACAATACTTATGATAGTTTTCACAATGCTAAGAAGTCGGAGATATTTTCATTCCCACCTAGAAATGGAGCGTTGAGATCTAGAGAGGGTATTTGTCCAAGGTAAGTAAGTGATAGAGTGGGGAGGGGAGCGCAGAGCCCCTGATTCCTCAGCAGGATCTCTTGAGGGTGGTGAGAACTTGGACTCGAGGGGCCTAGGGAGTAGATGAGGGCAGCATGCAAAGGGAGAAGGAGACTGGGCATGAGAGGAGCTGAGGAAGGTGTTCAGGTCTTATAATGAGAGGGATCCGACCCCTAGGGATTCGGATGGGATGACAGCCCTGTTTGCACTGAGTGGGCAGCCAGTCATCAGCCTGGAGCTTAAGGTCACCAACCTGCCCTCGGACCCAGCCCAGCCTCAGGCTGATGGGGATGATGCTCATGAGGCCCAGCTCCTGGTCACCCTCCCTGCGGCTTTGCACTACTCAGGAGTCCGAGCCCTGGACCCTACAGTGAGGACTTGGGGCAGAGTGGGTAGGGTGGGGCCTTAGGGAACTTCAGCAGTTTAAATGGACCTCTCTTCTCTTCCTGTTCTAGGAGAAGCCTCTCTGCCTGTCCAATGAGAATGCCTCCCATGTCGAGTGTGAGCTGGGGAACCCCATGAAGAGAGGTGCCCAGGTTAGCATATTTGCTTTTAGCCCCCTCAGCAACTCTGTAGCCCATGAGCCCTTCCTTAAGCTCCCAGACTTCCCCTGACCCCATTCCACCTCACTTGCGGTCTAGGTCACCTTCTACCTCATCCTTAGCACCTCAGGGATCACCATTGAGACCACAGAGCTGGAGATTGAGCTGTTGTTGGCAACGTAAGCCTGGTGGGGTTAGGATGGGGTGAGGGCAGGGCAGGGCAGGACAATTGAATTGCTGTGTCCCCCTGGTACCCGTGCTAACTGCCCATGCCTGCCCTGCCCTCACGCAGGATAAGTGAGCAGGAATTTCATCCAGTCTTTGCTCGGGCCCGGGTCTTCATAGAGTTGCCACTGTCCATTGCTGGGTAAGCTGTGCCCAAAGAGGGTACTTCCTCTGGAGGGAGGAGAGATGTCACCACCCCGAAGCCCTAGGCTTAGTCGTTCTTGGCTTCACTCTCCTGGTTCTCCATTCGGCCAGGACCTAGACCTCCTCAGTCCCTGTTTGGACTTTTTCATACCAGGGTGGCCATCCCCCAGCAACTCTTTTTCTCTGGTGTGGTGAGGGGAGAGAGTGCCATGCAGTCTGAGCGGGATGTGGGCAGCAAGGTCAAGTATGAGGTCACGGTAAGTGTCGTGTGGCCTGGCATGGGACCCTCCGAGGGGAGAGTCAGAAACGTGACCAATGTGGTTGCTTGGTGGTGCATTCATGACAGCTTTATTCCACCCGGTCTTTGGTTGTGGGCAGTCCTGGGGCTTCAGCTGACCATTTCCTGGTCATCCTGACTGACCCTCATATCTGCTGTACTTGAGAGGTGACAGGAGCTCAGGAAAATGTCTCTACTGCGGGCCTTGGCTGGGGAATGGGAACATAATGGGAGGGATGATTGATTCTTTTCTTAGAACATGATGGGAGGTATGATGTCTTTTCCTAGAATTTTACTCCTGCTTTGTGGAAACCTCTCCTCATTCCTCCCAAAGACACCTCCAGGATCTCCTGGATTTAGGGAGGGGAGGATATGGTGCCTGGTGGGGTCTACGACCTAAGTCTTAGTTAAAGTCCCTCTTTAAGGTTTCCCCTCAGCCCTTGTTTTCCATTTCTACAGATTTACTACCTTCTTAGGAACTGAACATCCTCCCTTCATACGTCCTTATGCCCACAGGTCTCCAATCAAGGCCAGTCGCTCAACACCCTAGGCTCTGCCTTCCTCAACATCATGTGGCCCCATGAGATTGCCAACGGGAAATGGCTGCTGTACCCGATGCGGGTGGAGCTGGAGGAAGGGCAGGGGTCCAGGCAGAGGGGCCTGTGTTCCCCGAGGCCCAATATTCTCCACCTGGTGAGGCTTAGGCAGGATGGGCTGCTGCACAGGAGAGTGGAGGGGTTAGCCCCTGGGAAGGATACCTTTGTCTTCCAGATGGGGAGAGTGGGTGTGAGAGAATTTGGAGGAAAGTGAGGGAGCAAATGTGACCCTGGACTGCTGCACTTGAAAGGTATCAACTGGTTATCCCTCCCCACATCTAGGATGTGGACAACAGGGACCGGAGGCGGCGGGAGCTAGAGCAGCCGGAGAAGCAGGAGCCACGTGAGCAGCTGGAACCCAGCACATTCTGGTGGCCAGTGTCCTCTGCTGAGAAGAAGAAAAACATTACCCTGGTGAGTGCCAGGCTGCCAGATGGGTGTGTGTGGCAATGTGGTAGAAGATACTGTGGAGTGCATTGGAGTGGTGGGTTTTGGGGAAGGGTGACTTGTCAACAAGTGCAATGATCAAACACTGAGGACAAGTTGATAAGACAGCTCTCTTCACTCCTTGTGGGAAAGAGGCACCTGTGAAGCAGCTGCTAGTGCCCCAGATCCTCCCACATCTGTCAAGTGCTCGCTTCAGGGCCAGGCATTTGACCTAAGGCGAGTGAGTTAACCAAGCAATCAATTCTTCTTATAAAGTTTACATGAGTTTTATAGTGATAGGATTCTTTTAGGTACCTTTGAGATCTGTTTGTTGCTCTTTGAACTCTTAGAATGAAAAAGTAAATTTGTACAAGGAAACCTACCTCATTATCATAATGTCAAAAACATCCTTAAGTCTTTTAAAATGCTAATAATCAAAATGGCAGCATATCATACACAATATATCATTCAGTCTATTCCTATTCCTTTTTTACCTTTTTTAAAATTTTATTTTATTTTTAAAATAATTTTAATGAACATTTACAGAGAATTTGGATTTCCATTCATTCATTGCTGCACTTCTCTCCCCGCCCAGCCCTCTCCCCCCGCACCCCAGTTCGCTCCTCTCTTTCAAAAGTAAAAGAAAGACTCCCTCCCTGGTACACAATCCCCCCGCACCCCTCCCACCGCCCCAAGTACATTCCACTATGCAACCTTAATTGTGGACTCTTGTGATAACCATAATACCCTATCATACATCGCTTTTAAATTATTCAGTCCCTCATCTGTTTCAGTGCAGTATACACAATTTATCCAGTTTTTCTCAGTCTTCTCCCCACCCTGATATCAGTCCCATTTTACAGCAGTGGCACCATGCAATATTTGTCTTTTTGTGACTGAGATATTTCACTCAGCATAATGTCCTCCAGGCTCACCCATTTTGAATAATATTGAATGAGTTCCTTGTTTTTCAATGCAGCAGAGTATTCCATTGTGTGAATATACCACAGCTTCTCTACCCATTCGTTTGTTGATGGGCACCTGGGTTGTTTCCAACTCCTTGCTATTGTGAACAGAGCTGCGATAAACATGGGTGTGCATATATCTGTTTGGTTGTCAGTTACGGTCTCTTTAGGGTATATTCCCAGTAGTGGAATTTCTGGGTCAAATGGTATCTCTACTTAGCTTTTTGAGAAAGAGCCATACCTCCTTCCACAGTGGTTGTACCATTTTACACTCCCACCAACAGTGAATAAGGGTTCCAGTTTCTCCACAACATCACCAGCATTTGTTGCTTGCTGTTCTGTTAAATTTTGCTATTCTGACTATATTCTGACAATTATATCTCATAGTTCTTTTACACACTATTCTTCATTCACATTGTATTTTATACAATCATTCCCATGCATTATATTTTAGAAATGTAAAATGGACCTTGCCCATCATGACCCAGTCTTTTCAGGTCCCTGCCAGATCCTTCCCATTTCCTTCACCCTCTCCCTTCACCCGACAAATTGTCCTTTTAAGTAATGACTTTGATTCCCTTGCTTCTGTATACTCTGCATAGTTTTATTCTTTAAATGGATTTACTGGGCAGATTAGGATGGTACTGACAGTGAGAGTGTGGTGGGGACATACATTAAAGGGGGTATTTAGCTTGGTTGTGAGGGGGCAAATCCCAATTATGGGCAACTAAGGGAAAGAGTCAAAGAAACTGCAGGTCTCAGAGGCATGGAAGCACCTGGGCTAGCATTTTCGGGAAGCTCCATCACATCTGGTTCTCTCTCCAGGACTCTGAGCTTCCCCACTTCCCTGAGAACTTGTCAGGAGGCAAAAGAATAGACATTTATGGAATTGTTCTGGAGACTAGAAGTTAGAAATCAAGGTGTTTCTGTGTTGATTTTTCCTGAGATGAGAGCATTGAAGCAGAATCTACTCCATGCCTCTCTCCTAGCCTCTGGTGATGGCCCCTGGTGTTTCTTGGCTTGTACATGCGTGCGTCTGTTTATATCTGCCTTTTGTCTCTCTGACATTTGCTGTTTCTCTTTTTTGAGGACATTACTCACATTGGATCAGGACTTACCCTTCTCCAGTATGATCTCATATTATTCTGATAACATCTTCAAAGATCCTGCCCCCCCCGCCCCAAGCAAGGCACTCTTAGGCACTAGGAGTCAGGATGTCAATATGCCTTGTTGGGTGACAGACTTCAGTGCACAATCCAGGGGCCCCTGGAGTAATGTAAACTTCTGTAATTGCTGTTCCCTACACATGGGTAGTTCTACTTTTCCGTATGTCTAATTTCCTCTGAAAAGTTTCCTTTTTAATAAGAAGTTTCAAATGGATTCTTTAACCTAAAATTAAAGTAGAAGGCCTTGTTCTCAGAAGAATCAACTGAAGACTGCTGAGTTGCTCAAAAGTGGTAAAATAAAAGATATCTCAAAGAATAGAAACAGTTTCAAAGCATTCTTATAAGTGTGGATGGTGGTAAAAAGTTATTGCTGTGATGTCGGAACTGACTCACAGCTGACCCGCCAGTGGGTTTTCAGAAACTGTAAATTGCATGGGAGGCGACTACCCATTTTACTCCTGCTGAAATGCTGATGAATTTGAACCACCGGAACAGCCTTTGGATTAGCAGTACAGCTGCCTATGGACTGTGCCACTGGAGGAAGTGTGATGAATTAGCCAGAATATGACTTTTAGACAAATGAGTCATTAGGTGGTAACTGGACCAAATAGATGTTGGGAGACATTGGAGGAATATGCCTTGTCTCCCAGTAGTGCCTGGGGCATCTTCCTATTTCTTTAATGAGTTTGACTTAGTACAAGAGTATGAGTTTGTTGACGATAGATTTGGGTTCATCTATCTGTTCCGTTCATTTACCAGCTTTACTAGCTGTGTAGCCTAAGTAAGGCAGGCCTCTTGACCTCTTTGAGTTTCCTCATTTGAAGGATGAACATGATAAATATGCCCTGCCTGTGGGGGTTTCAGTTAAAACACTCAGTAGCTAAACAAAAGGTTAAAGGTTCAAGTTCACTCAGATGTGCCTTAGGAAAAGAATTTTAGTGATCTACTTCTGGAAAATTAATCATTGGAAACCCTGCAGTACACAATTCTCCTCTGACACTCATGGGGTCACCATGAGCTGGGATAGACTTGATAGCAACTTGTTAATAATCTATACCTTGCAGGATCAAATGAGATAACTGCCTGGCAGATAGTAGGGCACTCAGTAAATTGAAAGATAAGACAAACATCAATTAGGGAAGCTACTTTATCTGCTGCCATAAAGGTAGAAGAGCCTCCCTCTACATCCTTTAAAGCTGACTAACCTAGATTTGGAGTTATTATGTACCATTGAGGTGGAACCAACTTATAGCTGACCCACCAGTGGGTTTTCAGAGATGGTAAATTGCATGAGAGGAGATTGTCTATCTTTCCAGTACAGCAGCAGAGGTGGATTTGAACTACATGCCTTTGGATTGGCAGTACAACTCCTTAACACTAAGCTACCAGAGTTCTCTACATTTGGGATGTTGTTGTATTTGTAGATAGGTACTGTCTGGTCCAGTACAACTCATAGTGACCCTATGAACAGTGGATCTGAAACCCATCCTATCCTGTGATATTTTCACACTTCCCGACACACTAGAGCCCATTGTGGCAGTCACTGTGTCAGTCCACCTGGTTGAGGGTTTTCCTCTCCTTTGCCGACTCATCACCCTTCTAAGTATCATATCCTTCTCCAAGGAATAGCACCTCTTAGAAACATGCCTGAAGTTTGTGAGGCAAAGCCTCATCATTCTTGCCTCCAAAGAACACTCCGGCTGCCCTCTCCAAGATGTATTTGTTTGCTCTTTTGGCCATCCATGGGATATTTAGTGCTCTTCTCCAACACCTCAGCTTAAAGGCATCAATTCTTCTTCTGTCATTCCTATTCACTGTTCAGCTCTCAGATGAATAGCAAGTGATTGCAAAGACCATGGCCTGAATCAGGCACACATTAGTCATCAAAGTGATGTCATTACTCCTCAGTAATTTGGAGGAGTCCCTAACTGCAGACGTTCCTAGTGCAATGTGTCTCCTTATTTCCTGACAGCTGGCACCAAGGGTGGTAATTATGGATCCAAGTAAGATGAGGCTGTTGACAGTTTCAATCTCTTCTCCAACAATAGTAGTATTTTTATTAGTTTCTCCCTCCATTTCTAGATTACTTTTTAAAAATATACATTTTGTTTTATTTTGTATATTTGAGTGAAAGTTTACAAATAATATTAGTTTTTCACTCAGTCATTCATATACATTTTACTTTATTACATTAATTACAATTGATTACTGCAATTAATTAATTAATTATAATGTCTGATCAATGCCTTATTATGTATTTTCTTTCCCTTCACACAACTTATCTATTTATTAGTTTTAACTCCCCTCTTCTTCCTTTCTCATCTCTAATAACCATCCACAAATGATTCTGTGTGTAAAACCTTCCTTAGCTTTTTAGAATGGTAGTCTTATATCATAATTGTCCTTATGTAACTGACTCAGTGTAATTGTGCCTATCACTAAGCATAATTTGTTCTAGAATCAACCATGCTGCACAGTGTTTAACAAATTCCTTATTGTTCTTTAGTATTGCATAATACTCTGCTATGTGACTGCACTATAGTTTCCCTAGCCATTTATTAGTTGATGCACGTTTGTGTTATTTCCATCTCTCTGTTACTGTATGTAATGCTTCAGTGAACATGTGTACACGTAAATCAATTTCTGTCACAGTTCTTATTTCTATAAGATATATACTTAGTATTGGTATTGCTGAATCAAGTGATTTTTCTATTCCCAACTTTCTAAGTGCCAAACTGCTTTCCATTGTGGTTGCACTATTTGCATTCCCATCAGCAGTATATAAGAGTTCCAATATTGCCACCCCCTTGCCAGCATTTGATGTTTGTTATCTTACTGAATTTTACTTTTGTTGTTGAGGTAAAGTGCTTAATTGTTCTTATTTGCATCTCTCCAATAAGCTAATGATCTTGATAATGACTTCACTTTTTTGGGGTCTTTCTTTGGTGAAATGCCTTTTCATGTCCTCTGCATATTTTATAATTGGATTGTTTATCTTTTTCTTGTTGAGCTTTTGGAGTTTTCTGTAAATTTTAGTGATTAGTACCTTATCAGATATGTCATTGCTAAATATTTTTTCTCATTTTGTGGGTTGTCTTAATATTCTTTTGGAAAAATCTTTCTATGCACATAAAGATTTAAATGTAAGGTGGTTCCAGTCATCAAGTTTATCCTCTGCTGCTTATGCATTTTCAGTTTTATCTGATAGTTTAATTATTAGGCCAGACTTTTTTATAATCCAGGTAGACCACAGGGTTGGAGGAGGGGAATTGGAGGTTAGGTAAGAAAAGTGAAAAGGGAAAGAGGTCTAAGGTGTAGAGGCTCATCGAGGGATGGCATTAAGCCTCCAGGCAGACTCTGTGTCTGTGTGATCACCTTTATAAGGATGCCAGGCCTTGGGAGAGGCTCAATGAAATGGGGTCCAGCCGCTCAGAGTTCTGCCTGTCTTTGTCCCCAGGACTGTGCCCGGGGCACAGCTAACTGCGTGGTGTTTAGCTGTCCCCTCTACAGCTTTGACCGAGTGGCTGTGCTGCACGTTTGGGGGCGACTGTGGAACAGCACCTTCCTGGAGGTGAGGGCTCTGTTGGGACCTTGGGCTGGGCTGCTTCTCCCACAGCTGCCCCTTTGGAACTCAGTTCTCCTCCACCACTTCTCTGTCAAAATGCAGCATATCCTTTACCTAAGAGAGGCAAAAACATCTTCTGTCCAGACAGATCTTGAGATACTGTGGCTTGGGTCCCAGACCACCACAATAAAACAAATATCACAATAAAATGAACTTTGTGATTTTCAAGGGCATATAAAAGTTATCTTTACATTATACTGTAGTCTACTAAGTGTGCAATAACATTATGAAAAACTTTGACATTTTGAGAGAATTACCAAAACGTGGCACAAAGACATGAAGTAAGCATACATTGAGCACAGTTTTGCAACAAACCTTCAGTTTGTTAAAAATGCAGTATCTGTGAAGTGAAATAAAATGGAACACAATAAAATGAGGTATGCTTACATTTGGCACTATTCTACTTATAATTTCAGGGACTGGATGGAAGGGAGGGGGCCATGGGGACATTTAAGAGGACATTTAAGCCTCTTCCTTGCTTTCTTAGGAGTACTCAGCTGTCAAATCCCTGGAAGTGATTGTCAGAGCCAACATCACAGTGAAGTCCTCCATCAAGAACTTGATGCTCAAAGATGCCTCCACGGTGGTAAGCTGCTGAGTTAGTTGAGTAGGGCTCTTCTCTCTCTTTTGCCCTCCTGCTCTTGCTCCTGTAACCTCTCTTTCTCCTCAGATTCCAGTGATGGTATATTTGGACCCAGTGGCTGTGGTGGCAGAAGGAGTACCTTGGTGGGTCATTCTGTTGGCTGTTTTGGCAGGGCTGTTGGTCCTGGCACTGCTGGTGTTGCTGATGTGGAAGGTGAGGTCTGGGAGGGTGAGTGAGTGGGGTATGAACTTCCCTCTCAGGCAAGTGGCTTTTTGGGCTGTGTTTCTCTTATCTACCCATCTACACATTTCCCAGCTATCTTTCCTCCCACCCCAGCAAATATGCATTACGTACTTACCCAGCAGGTCCCAGGGATTCTCTCTGTCCCTGGAAGGTTCAAAGATAGTCAGATGAAGATCTTATCCTCAGGGATTTTGCAGTCTAGTGGAGCAGGCAAACTTTGTAGATGAACACAATGCAGGTGATGAGTTAAGAAAGTGTAGTAGGATTTCAGAAGATGAAAATTCAGAGGATTTATCCTGGAGCTGGGTCTTAGGAGGAAGATAGGTAATAGAACTTGAATGTGGAGATGGAGTCAATGGACTAACAGCATCCAGAAGGACCATGGTAGGCAAAGTCATAAAGGCAGAGAAGTATGATCTGATTTAACCAGATTCCAGGTAGGCTGAAAGGGAAACTGAGGCCAATAAGGCCAACACATATGGGAAAGTGCTTCCAGAGAATTGCCTCCAGGTCTGATCTTGGAACCACCACATCCTGGGGTCAGCATGAGATCCTTTTTTGTTTATACAGAATCACCCTTGTGTCTCAGATGTAACATCAAAGCTCACAAGTGCACCTGTCAGTCCAGAGAATCACATACATCACCAGGGCTTACACCTAGAACCAGATGCCCCAGCTGTTTATAGAACCGTGCACGTCCTTGATGCTAGAGAGAGACTCTCTTTACTCTCAAGGTTTATTCCTGTAGACCATTCACAGACCAACAACATGTTTTGGCAAATGTGAAACACTGTAAACCAGGCCTCTGGAGTAGCATCCAAATTGTTGGGAACCTGGCCAGTTTAGGGGAGACTGATACTTTTATGAAACCCACGCTAGGATCTCAGGTAAGGGCCCTCATCCTTCCTCAGTCTTCCCATCCTCTGCCTCTTTTGCTCCCCCTTCCCCTTCAACACCTCAGTGTGGTTTCTTCCATCGGAGCAGTCAGAGTTCATCTTTCCCCACCAACTATCACCGGGCCCATCTGGCTGTGCAACCCTCAGCTGTGCAAGTTGGTGGTCCAGGGACTGTGGGGTAACTGTTGCGTGAATGCACACGTGTGCATGTGCAAATATGTGTGTCCCGGGATGGGTATAAATGTGAGTGAGTATAAATAGAGCTCCTAGCATTCAGGGAGCCGTGAATGTGCAAGGTGAAGAAATGAGATTGCATGAGGATGGTGTGAGTCCCGGGAACTGAGGTGGGAGGTAATTAATGATAAGAGAGTAGGTTATAAAAGTAAGTATACACAGCCTTGGTCATGCACAAGTGTTGGGTGGGCCAGTGGAGTGTGAGCATGTGGGGAGGTGCCCTGCATGCCTTTTCTGTGGGCATGAGTGTGCAGAGATGATTTTACAAGGAGATGCTGTGCAGGAGTCTGAGCATGTAGGAGTCCTGGTGATCCTGATCATGCGTATGCAGGGGGCACTTTTCCACCGGATTATGTGAGGACCAGCATGTTCATGACTTAGGGTGGGTCCTGGCCCTGCTCTAGGCTGACGGTTCAGGGTGTAGTGTGTGAGGCTTTAGAGGAATCATTCCAGACCATACAATGGTCTAGGAAGCTGTTTTCTTCTTTGGTGTGTTCTGAGGGAGGTTATTTGGTCTCTGAAAAGGTTGGGTGGATAGAAAACTTTGGGGTCGGCAAATACCTTTAACTTCCTCTTTCAGGGCCTAAGGGAGGTGTCTTGGGTCCTGCATCTTGGGTCTGAATCCTGGAGTCTGAATGTGGATGAAAACCAGGGACCCAGCACTGATAGAGGGAATTGCTCACTCATTAGATGACTGTCTAGCATGTGTCCTTTCTCCTGCAGTTGGTTTTATCCATACTGGGGATGGTGAGGGCAAGGGACTGTGCTGTGCTGGGCATACACTCCGGAGGCTTCAGCACATTGGATCTTCCTTGTCTGGCCTTTACAGATGGGATTCTTCAAGCGGGCGCAATACCCCGAGGCCACAGTGCCCCAGTACCATGCGGTGAAGATCCCACGGGAAGACCGGCAGCAGTTCAAGGAGGAGAAGACAGGCACCATCCTGAGGAACAACTGGGGCAGCCCCTGGAGGGAGGGTTCTGATGCAAGCCCCATCCTGGCTTCTGACGGGCACCCTGAGCCAGGCCTGGAGGCGCATCCTGTACCAGCTACTGCCTAGCTGCTTTTGTCCTGGCCTGGCCTGTGGGTACCCTCCACCCCTTTCCTAGAGATAGCTCTTTAAGGTGAAGAGAGTAGAGTTGGTCTCTGGCATCACACCAGGATTTTGCAGGATCTTCTTCCTCAGGGCCGTGAACCTTTCCCCAGTCCACTAGGATTCCTGTCATATCACCCCTCTGGAATGCTGTGCGATGAGAGGGGGGCAAATTAGGGATGGGGCTGTGAGGCAGGGTGAGAAGGGCCTGGGCGTCCTAATTCAAGGGTGTGGAGAAGGACCTTAACCTCACCCTCTTACATACACTCTGTGTAGCAGGCCCGAGAACCTGTTCCCCCAAAGTGCCTTAGTTTAGAGGGCTGGGGAGGAGGTGCATCACTGACTCAGGGGCTCCTCCCTCCCTACTCCCCCCTTTCCTCTGACCGTAGTTTGTTGATTCAGTATAGTAAGTTTTATCTATTTATTAAAAACATTTCAGGATGAAAACCTTTGGCTTCTTTACTAAGTCCTGTTCCATCAACTTAGGGTGTCTAGGAGAAGCCTGGTGGTCTTCAGCACCCCTGTAACTTACATATTTGTACTGATGAGAAGGACTCATCACGTGGTCTGGCAAGGACACATATACTAAAGCTTTTGGGACCAGTTCCTACAGGCAAATAGGTGTGATGACTGCAAAGCAGAGGGAGACCTTACAATAGGAGTAAGGAGAGCGGGAGTGGAGGGGTGCTGGCTGAGGGGGTAGGTGTGCAAAAGTTGGAAGGCCCAGCCCAGAAACTGGCAGTTCAGGATGTGACAGGGTATATATAGTTGCTTTCCCCCTTTCTATTATGGGTGAGAATAAGCTCTTTCACTGTGAAAGAAAGGAGTGAAGTTAGAGATTCCACCTGGCAGAGCTTGGGGAGAGAAGAGTTAAGGGGTAGTGTGTGAATGGCTACATGGCCTAATAAAAGACAGGCTTGGTTATTGTGTATGGGTGGGATTGTTCTGACGAGGGGAGGAGGGAGGAGAAGTGAGTGACTTGGGGGCCCTTGAAGAAGACTTATTTCACAGCCTTTCCCATGATGTGGGGCCCGACAGGTAACCACTTGATGGGAGGTGGTTGTCGTTCCATCTGGAGTTCAGAGAACCGGGCGTTCTCCAGATCCTTCCAGGTCTCCCTGGTGAGGCAGCAGCCATCCCCAATGTGTTTCCAGGTGGGCTCTAAAACTTGCTGCCACATGTAGGCCCAGCTTCCACGTGGCTCAGCCACATGCTCCCAGAAGAAGAACACTCCTCCCTGGGTGGGAGGAGAGAGTTAGTGTCACCTTTCTGCTCCATTCCACTCCCTGCTTCCAACCTCACCTCCACCCCTTTGGCCAATCCTGGGTGAACCTCTTGATGGAGTGAAAGTTGTTGGCCTAAGAGTTTATGTAGTAAAATGTTCTGTCACTGACATTTTCTCTATCCTGTGACTCATACCCTCCCACCCAAAGTCCTGGAAGAGAGCATTGCATTGATGAGAGATCTTTAGTTCCTGTAAAGACAGAAAGGATGACGTACTTGAGGGCAGACAAATGGGAAGATGTCTCTACCCAGAGATGTGGTCAGAATAGCCCCAGCCTTTGCCCTGAGACTCCACAAACATACCACAGAACATCTTAGGGACTATCCCAGGCTACCTCCCATGGAAAACCCAGACTTGATTCCTGACTAAGGTCTGGGTTCTTTAAAACTAGGCTCAGAGGTACCATGATAACTCAAAGGCAACTAACTAGTTGTCCCCCCCCCCATCTTAGTGGCATCTCAGACCTAACACATCTAAAACAGGTTTCATTTCAGCCTTTAGCTCAGCAAACAGTACATTTGCTCACTGCCTCCTCTACTTGTTGAGACCATCAGCCCTCTCTGCACATTGTGCACTGTGGAGTCAAGTTCAGCTCACATTGACCTGATAGGATGGAGTACAAGTCCTGTGTGGGGTTGCCTAAGCTAGAATCTTTTCAGGAATTGATTGTCAGGACTTTTTTTCCTTCAAAGATGTTGGTGGGGTTTGAACTGACTTTTTGTTAGCATCCAAGTACTTAACCATTGCACCACCAGGAACCTTTTGTTGTTGTTGAATCAAGTACGATTTCCAGCGATCCTGTGAACAACAGACCTAAACCCTGTCCTATCCTGCACCCTCCTCATCATCTCTGACACACTTGAGCCCATTGCAGTCACCGTGTCAATCCATCTCAATGAGAGTCTTCTTCTCCTTTGCTGACCCTCCACCTTTCCAAGAGTGATGTCCCTCTCCAAGGAATAGCTTCTCCTAATGACAAGATGCCCAAAGTATGTGAGATGAAGCTTTATCATCCTTGCCTCAAAGGAAAACTCTGGCTGCACCTTCTCCAAGACAATCTGTTTGTTCTTTTGGCATTCCTTACATTTGGATTAAATATACTAGGCAATATTTGGTAAATATGAATAATATTACTTAATATTCTTTCCATACCCAGTTCAAATTCAGTGAGGTTCTACCCCCTCATATCTCTACATAGTTGTTGTTTGTTGGTAGGTGCCATGGAGTCGACTATGACTCAGCCACTCTATAAACAATCAATCTGAACTCTATCCTATCCTGTGCTGTACTCACAATCTCTGACACACCCAGGCCCATTGCCAATGGCACCATGTCAGTCTACCTGGATGAGGGGCTTCCTCTCATTTGCTTCCCACCCTCCACCTTCCCAAGCAAGGTGTCCCTCTCAAAGGAATAGCTTCTCCTAGCAACATGCCCAAAGTATTTAAGACAAAGCTTTGAATAGATCTCTACATAGGTCACTCTTTTATTTCTCCTCATTCCCTTACACACCTCTTGGTCCTCAGTGGAAACATCAGTTCCTTCAAGAGGGCTTCTCTGCTCCTCCCCGCTTCACGGCATTATAGGTAATGGGCCAACATGCTTTCTCAGAATCCTCCCCCATTACCACACCGGCCATATTTCCTGTTCTTCACCAGTAGATGGCAGCGGAGTGGGGTGCTTAATGTGGTGAAACATGATTCCCTCTCCTGGTTGGCCTTAGGGACCTGGATAGCACCAGGAGTTTGCAATTGTCTGAAAACCAAGGTTGAGGATTCAAGTCCACTCGGTGGCCGCTTGGAAGAAACACCTAGTGAACTGCTTCCCTACAGGTTAGAGCCAAGAAAACACTGTCCCCGTTCTGTCTTGTAACTCCGGATGGGGGCCACCCTAAGTTGGAACAGATTCAATGGCAATGAATTTTTTTTGCTTTTTTAAAAATTTGGCTTTCAGTTTTAATTTGGTAATTTGGTTGGATCCTCTGAGAAGTCATTAGAAGGTGCAAAACAATGAGCAAGTTTTTTTTTTCTTTTTTTGCTAACCTAAAAGTTGTTGGTTTGAGTTTGCCTAGACGCACCTTACCTGAAAGGCCTGGTGATTTTCTGAAAAAACAAAAGCAAAACAAAACAAAACCCCAAAAAACAAAAACAAAACAAAAAACAAACAAAAAAACCAACACAAAAACAAACAAACAAACAAAAAACCCCAACAAAACCCCAAAAACCCAGCCATTGAAAACCCTATGGAACACTGTTCTGCTCTGGCACAGATGAGGCTCCCATGAACTGGCATCACCTCCCTGGCACATGGTTTTTGGATGGCTGATGTGGCTTTTCCTGCCCCATGCCCATGCCCTTCCCCTCTGCTCACCGGCCTCAGCACTCTCTGAACCTCTTGCAGGACCTTCTTGGTGCTCTTGACAGAGCACAGCACCAGGGTGCAGACCACCACATCCATGGAGCTGTCCGCCAGCTGCCTCATGTCCTCTCCAGAAGCCACCACAAACTTCTCATATTTGAGGTGCTTGTTCTCAGCCATACTCTTTGTCAGGAAAGTCTCAAAGTTGGGGTTTGGGTCCAGGCAGGTGATCCTACATCCGGCTGGGTAAAACTGGAAGTTGGCCCCGGTGCCACAGCCCAGCTCCAGCAGCGCCACCTTCCCGGAGGCTCCTGCAAACCCCTTGATTTGGCCAAACAGCTCTCTCTTCTTGCTCTCCATTTTGCGGTTACTCTTGACGGTCAGTGTTGCCATCAGATACGGAAAGTAGGTTTTGCATATGGGCTGCCAGAAGCCCAGTAACGCTAACAGGTGCAGGGGCAGGGTCAGGAGCAGCACTAGCAGCTGCAGGAATCGGACCAGGACGTCCATGGCAGGCCAGCTCTGAGTGGCGCTTTCCTGGATATTGGACTTTTCTTTCCAACGTGCCCTTGTCTGGTCCACCTCTAACCATGTGATAGGACTTTGCTCCCTCACTCCTACCCAGTGATTTCTTCCTCATCAGGGTGGAGTGCCTGGAATTCCTCCAGAGGGCTCAGATCCCACTCGCCTCACAGCCTCTTTAACTGTTTTACAGTGGGTGAAGGGACAGGTCTTGCCAATAGGTCCTGAGATCTGGGACACTCTGCCCAGGCCACGAGGGTTCGGGTGTGCCAGAGAGAGAGAGATGAGAAGGAGAAAAGAGGATACATCTCAGATCATAACCGTTCTGGTTGCCAAACGCTGGGAGCAGAGTTAACTAACTCATGGGCCATCTCTTGGCCTTACTCTGTTCCCAGGACCTGCTCAGGTTATGCAAGTTGAAGACTCTGGTAGGCTTTCCTTGGCACAGCTCAAGGACTCTGTAAACTGTGACATGCTTTTACTTCAGATGGAAGCCAAACAGAGCATTCAGGATAAGGCCTGATTGGTCAAAAGAAGGAGGGCGGTTACTGGCCAAGTGAAAGGCATTTTTCCAACTGGTTGGGGTTTGTTATTACATCCAAGGCTTCATGACCCTAGAAGTAGAAGAAAAGAAAGCAAGCCACAGTGACAAAGAAGAGTCAGGAGACCTGGGTTCTAGTCTTTGTTCTGCCATTAACTTGCTGTGTTTCTTTGGGCAAGTCTTTTTTTCTTTGTGAGCCTCAATTTCTCATCTGGAAAATGAGGAAATGAGAGATAGGAGGGGCCTCGCAGCATTTCTAAGGTCTCTTCCTGGCGAGTAGGATAAGCTGTAGTCCTCATAACTTCGAGGGTACCTCAGTCACAGCTCAGGACAGCATGCCTGAGCTTCAGATCCAGGCCAGAGACAGCTACTGATGCAGGGACATTTCAAAGATCAGCCTTCCCCTGAAGCAGGGAGATTTCAAAAATCAACCTTCTGGAGCATAGGTACCTTCTCAGAAAGTCTCCAGGTTGTTGAGTGGTGGCTTCTCTTTTAACTTAAACCTCTCACAGAAGTTTGGGTTAGGGATTTTTTGTTTTTATTAGCTCCCCACAAATGTTCCCGAAGACTGAAAAGTGACAAGAAAACCAACAAATGTATTCTACAGCTGTAAAAATCACAATAATTCCAAGTGTCACAAGAAGCATTTCCTAAAGCTGCTCTAGGACGGCCCTGTAGGAGGGGTGCTCTGACAAAGTTCACTGTCTATGTCCTGCCAGTAGAAGCTGCTCCCTGCTTTAGGGAGAAGGTCTGGAGACACCTCCCGAGTCAGGCAGGGACAAGCTATTTTAGGAATGGGTTTTCTAACTGAACAGCCAAAATTGGAGTAGACCCTGCAGCTCTGCCAAGGGAAGAGTATTTTGTGATCATCATGTTAGACCTCTTCTCTGAGCTTTGTTTCTGCTGTGGAGTAAGAAAGGCCAGCAGTTCTCCTTAGAGTAAGGGCATGCGTTCCCGTCCTAATTCCTGGTGTGCTATTGTGGTTTTAATACAGATATTCTTGATGACATTGGCTTAGAGATTCTCCTCTGTGAAGTGACTGGTTAAGTGTTTTGGTCTAAATTTTAAACAGTTTTTTTCAACTATTTTAAAATTTGCTGTTATTTTTAGTAGTTTCCAAGTCAGTTCAGATTTATAGAAACATCACATGTACAGAGTAGGAACAGCTCTTCATGGTTTCTAAGGCTGTGACCTTTTAGAAATAGATCACCAGGCCTGTCTTCTGAGGCACTCCTGGATGGGTTCGAACCACTAACCTTCTTCTAGTAGTCTGGTGCCAAACTTAAGGAGTTCTTTATGTATTCTGGAAATGGGTTTGTTGTTAAATACATACATCTGACAACAAAAGGTTTCCCTTTTTTTCATGAATTGTATTTTAATGCAGTCCAATTTATCTTATACAATTATTAATTTTTGTTAATCTGACAAATACAAAATAGTATGATTTTTATTTGCTTTTTCTTGTTTGAGTGTTGTTAAGTATCTTTTTATATGATCAGAGCCTCTGTATTTCCTTTTCTGTGAATTGTCCTTTACCTACTTTTCCACCATAGGTTGCTCATTTTCCCCTACTGATTTGAATAAACTCTTTTTAAGGAAATTAGTTCTTTATCTGTGATTCTAAGTGGCAAAACACCTTCCTTTGATTGCTTATGAATCTTTAATTTTTAATTAATTTTTATTTTTGCCTTTCAGGAATTTTTTGTTTCTGTGCAGTTAAAAAAATCAGTATTTTCTTTTCTACTTTAAGGGTTTGCTTTTTCTTCACACTATACACATAGTTTATTAGATATAATGCTGACAGTTGTCTTTTTTTTAATTTTAATGAAAGTTTACAGAGATTTTGGATTTCCATTCATACATTGTTGCACACTTTCCTCCCTACCCACCCCTCCCCCCAGTTCGCTTTACTCTTTGAATGTTGTTGTTATGTGCCGCTGAGTCGTTTGCGACTCATAGCGACCCTATGCACAACAGCCCTAAACCCTGCTCTATCCTGCGCCAACCGCACTGCCTCTGACACATCCATCCCGATTACCCCAGTCACCGAATCAATCCATCTCACAGAGGGTCTTCCCCTCCTGCGCTGTCCCTTCACCCTCCCAAGCATGATGTCCCTCTCCAAGGACCCGTCCCTCCTGGCAACATGTCCAAAGTATGTCAGACGAAGCCCCAGAATCCTTACCTCCAAGGAGCAGCTTGGTTTAATCCTCTCCAAGAGGAATCTGTTTGTTTTCCTGGCAGTCCGTGGTACATTCAGTACCCTTCTCCAGCACCACAGCTCAAAAGCATCCACTCTCCTTCTGTCCTCCCTAGTCATTGTCCAACTCTCTGATGCATAACAAGCAATTGCAAAGACCATGGCCTGTATCAAGCGCACCTTAGTCTCCAGAGAGACACCGTTGCTCCTGAGTACTTTAGAGAGGTCCCTAACAGCAGACTTTCCCATCGCGATACGCTTTTTGATTTCCTTACTGCTGGTGCCAAGAGTGTTGACTGTGGAGCCGAGCAAACTGAAGCTGTGAACAATCTCAATCTCTTCGCCATCCATCCTGACGCTGCCAATTGGTCCAGTGGTGAGAATCTTTGTCTTCTTGACATTGAGCCTCACTCAGTCCATACTGAAGGCTGCGGTCCTTGACCCTTCGCAGCAAGTGCATGAGGTCCTCCTCAGTTTCAGCAAGCAGGGTTGTGTCATCTGCATAATGCAGATTGTTAATAGATCTTCCACCAATCCTGATGCCACAATTCTCCTCATAGAGCCCAGCTTCTCAGATAATCTGCTCTGCATACATGTTGAAAAGGTATGGAGACAGGATGCATCCCCTGGCATACACCCTTCCCAATTTTGAACCATGCATTGTTACCCTGCTCTGTTCTGACTACTGCCTCTTTGAATGGAAAAAAAAATGCTTTCATTTTTTGTAATCCTCCTCCCTTCCCAGTTCACTTTACTATGTAGCTCTTATTCTGGACTGTTCACATGTAAATAATACCTAATCATAAATTCTCCTCAAACAGCTCTCTCCCTCATCTGTTTCAACGCAGTATACATTATTTATCCCCTCTTTTCTTAGGTTCCCTTCAACCCCGATGTCATTTTGTTTTACAACAGTAGCACTATGCAGTATTTGTCCTTTTTTTTTAATTTTTTTTGTATTTGTCCTTTTGTGACTGATGTATTTCACTCAGCATAATGTCCTCCAGAGTCACTCATATTGTATAACATTTAGTGAGTTCCTTGTTTTTCACTGCAGCATAGTATTCCATTGTGTGAATATAACACAGCTCCTCTATCCATTTGTTTGTTGATGGGCACTTGGGTTGTTTCCAACACTTTACTATTGTGAACAAAGCAGCAATAAGCATGGGTGTGCATATATCTGCTTGGGTGGCAGTTCTGGTTTCTTTAGGGTAAATTCCCAGTAGCAGAATTTCTGGGTCAAATGATATTTCTATTTGCAACTTTTTTGAGAAAACACCACATAGTCTTCCATCGCAGTTGGCCCATTTTATGCTCCTATCAACAGTGAATAAGGGTTCCAGTTTCCACAACTTCACCGGTATTTGTTGTTTGCTGCTCTGTTGAATTTTGCTATTCTTACTGGGGTGAGATGATATCTCATAGTTGTTTTGATTTACATCTCTCTTAGAGGTAGGGATTTTCATGAGTTTGTTCGCCATCTGAATGTCTTCTTTGGTGACGTATCTGTTCATACCCTGTGCCCATTTCACAATTGGGTTGTTTCCCTTTATCTTGTGGTGCTTGAATATTCTATAAATTCTAGATATAAGTCCCTTATCAGATGTGTCATTACCAAATATTTTTTCCTAGTCTGTGGCTTCCCTTTTTACCCTGTTGGAGAAGTTTTTCTATCTGCATAGGGATTTGGTTCATCTATTTTATCCTCTTCTGGTTGTAGGTTTCTAGGTTAAGGTTTGAGCTGTGGATCCAACTTGATTTTGTTCAAAATGTCTTAATGCTTTGTTTTTTAAAAACACTCTACCAAATAATTTGTTTTTTAAAAACCCTCTACCAAATAATTTGTTTTTTAACATTTTTTATTACAACAAATATGAGATATCATCTCACACCACTAACAATAAGAAAGTTCAGCAGAGCAGCAAATAACAAATGCTGGAGAGGTTGTGGAGAAATTGTAACCCTTATTCACTGTTGGTGGGAGTGTATAATGGTGCAAACACTCTGGAAGGCAGTATGGTGCTTTCTCTAAAAGTTGGAAATAGAAATACCATTTGAGTCTGCAAATTCACCACTGGAAAGATACCCTAGAGAAACCAGAACTGCCACCCAAACAGATGTATACACACCCACATTTATTGCTGCATTATTCACAGTAACAAAGAGATGGAAGCAACCCAAGTGCCCATCAACAAACTAATGGATAGAGAAACTGTGGTATGGAATTCTATGTAGCACTGAAAA